GATGCAAACGTCTAGAGTCCCGCTTACTTTCTTATTTAGTACTTTTGCAAAAAGCGGATATCTCTTGGAACGGGCCAAAAAATCTTGTGCGTGCTGATGTCTAGTACATCAAGATTTAGACTGCATATTTAAAATTTGTGCTTTAACTTGGTTAGTCACCTGCGCTGTCTAATGAAAAAAAACTTCGAAATAAAACTTTGATAATGTCCGTGTTTTCATGAAACTTCTAGTGTTCACTATCCCCTCAGCATGATTAATAATTTCTACGTACACGGGCAGCCAATCCTTTAGATCGTAAACAGGCCGTTAAAAGCCAGTTAGCGGACCGTTTTAGGGTGCCTTTCACATACATTACTAGAGATGAACCGTAAATAGGCCATTAATGACCAGTTATCGGCAGAGAAATTCTAATGTGGTTTACCGTGAAGTATTGAGAAACGGCCTAAAAACGGTTCGTTAACTGGGCGTTAATGGGCAGTTAATGGCGAATTTCTGTATGAATAATAAATAGTCAAGAAACGCTCAGCAAACGGTGAGTAAAGGGGACCGTTAACTGACCGTTTTATGACCATGGACGTTTTCAGACTATTTTTCGACCGTGAAACGTCCACACTAAAAATGTGTGGTTTACTGGCCGTTTTCGTAGAGAGTATTCTGTTACTATTTAATGGCATCCACTCATGTCAGAACATGTCATTTGATTAAACATAAAACTAGTTGATTGCCTTCTCGCAGACAGGTTATGGCAATGTGCGTAACGGACAGAAAGAGCATATTTAAGATATATAACAGCAGTACATTCATATCAGTTATGTAGTCGGAATGATTGCGGCACTAATATCTACATGTACGTATTTTTAAATTATTGATAATCTATATACAGCTGATACAAATAGGGTGCTGTTTTGCCAAGGAGGAAATAACCCTCCCGGTTTTGCTGCACACACGTCGAAGTGTCTCTCACTTTGAGTGACACTTCTACACTTGAAGTGACACTTCGTCACTTAAACAGAACGAACCGTTTTCATCGAGACCTCTAATCTGACAGATAACTTAATTTTACTCTCAGTTGCTCCACACCAAGGCAAAATTTAAAAATGATCTCAAAGTTCTTTGATTCTGATAACTTGGTGAACGTCTGAATTTGTGTCCGCTAGGATCGGGGATTTCGGCCTATATACTCAAAATAATGACAACTTTATCGACGAACACTGGATGTTGAACAGAAATAAAAATGGGAATAAAAGTATCAACATGAAATTTACATTCGTATGCTAGTGTTCGATCTTAATTGGATAGCAGTTGTGGAATGAATGTCTTTACCATATCTAACATAAAACTGTGAACCCATTCCTGACCATTTATCCAGTTGTTGTTTGTCCCATAGACCGACGACTTTGTCGTCTCTCCAGGCCTCGTAAATAGCATCAATGTGATCGGCTTGTTGTTTGATCAATTTTTTTATTAGTACACTATTTGTTTTTTAATACTTTTAGCAGCAGCAGGTTTTGATTTTTAAATCTTTTCAAAATTCAAAACCTGCTCCATTCGAAAGAGCATCATAGAAAACCTATGAAAATAATCTTCAGAGGCTTTTGTACCACGTAAAAGGTTTATGTCACATGCCTAGCAAAAATTGCCCACTGTGGGGAGCATAGATGGAACCGGTACCGACCGGTCACTTGAACGAAACGAAGGAAGTCCCATACGAATGAATCGAGTTCAGGCATTCTTAACTTCTCTCTCGACGACTTGGTATCAACCAAATCAGCTTTACAGGCAACAGAGACATCACAACGCCAAAATACAACTTATCAGGAACAGCAACATCCAGAAAAAGGTCAAGACAATAATTGACCACAAACAATGGATGGATAATACGGCGATATGTTGTCTAGTACTATTGAACAGCAAACTACAACTTATTTCGAGCAGGTCAAAAAGAATGTAGCAAAGGTACCAAAATATTTAGCATCGTCTATTTGTTTTTCTTATGATTATCGTCTTTTCGGCTTTGTCGTATTTTGTGGTCATTTACCACGATGACTTCAGGAACAGAATAGGTACTGTTGCTGTAAGCTGTTTCGGGTACGGCAGAGTCACGTTAGTTGAAAGCTGATTTTAAGAGTTCTAAAGACAGTTCCTTCTTTTGACTGAGTTAGAAAATGTTAAAATAGTCAGAGATAAATCTGCTAAGGAAACACGGTTTTTAACACATCAGAATAAGTGAAAAAGATTGACAATTTTTCAAACACCTGTTACTCTTTACTTGGAGATGTTTGTTTTTTGCACAGATTTTTTCAAAAGCGACATTTTTCCATTTCTTTTCACCCATTCCTGCAGCATCCGAGTCCAAAACAGGATTTCACTTATGAATCTTAAACATCTTCATTTCGCACCTGCATACTATTGGCTTTCAGATGAGTGGAAGATACTCGCTTCTTCGCCTTCTTTCGAGAATAAACGCTTATATTTCTCTTTTTCACGTTCATATATTCTTAAAATGATCCACGTTGCCAATGCGAGTATTTTTTGGGCCATTGTCGAAGTTTACCGATATCTGATCCTTCACCATAGCCGTAGTTCTCATCGGTTATCTCTACTGACCATTTGTGTCCAAAATCAGCGGAAACGTGATCGAAAGGGTTGCACGGCACATTTAGTCTATAATCGAGATAGTCTGTTGAACATAGCTCAGATATCTTAGGGTACATGAAATCGATTGTCCTGTTCGTATAATGAAGGATGATGGTGAGAATACCTCTGTGAATATTGTCGTACATGAAAAACAAATCAACATTCAGTGTCTGTTAGGAAGTGACTCATCATCATCATCTTCTTCCAGGCTTTTCTTTCTCATTCTTCTTTTTTTAGTTATGTAACTATTGCCTTCAATATAGGTCAGTCTGTTTAGTGACAAGACAATAGTTATTTTTCTCTCTCTCTTTATACTATTATTATTTTACTACGTACAGACGGACGATGGATTTTTCACAGTCGTTCCCTTTGTCTATTTCTTGTATAAATATGCAGTTGTTAGTTTAGTTAGAAGAGGCTATTCACTCGAAGTAACATCATCGAGTAACATCTTTATTTTATTCTTTCGTCTGTTATCTCTTTTCGTTTATACATATTGTGATAACTTTACTTTACACGAATAAAACAGTTTAAAAACAAAATCAAACCTTTAGAGTTAAACAAGCGTAAGTATCGAGGAAGAATTTCAGTTAGGTATTAGCTACCGGCCTGATAGCCTAACAACTGGTGCCGTAACCCGTTGGTCGTTCCAGGTATAGTTAACAACTGGTGTGATCAAGGTTTTATTTAGCATAAGGGAAATTAATTGTGTACAAGGTTGAATTTTTTTTTTTGTTGAACAAAGAAGGTTTCAGTTTCGATTACTCGTGCAAAAGAAGAGGTAAGTGAATAGTTTTGTTACTGTAGAATAAGGTTTTAGGTGGTGGTCATACAACACACGTAGAATAAGGTTTATTAGTTTTTGGTATTTATTTTCCATTATTCCATACTTTTGTAAAGCCGGAAAGTCAAAGAGACTATAGAAACAACCGAGTATGCAAAGTCTGATCTATACATAGTGGAGTTATCTCCATATTAATTTATGATACTGACCCGGTCTCAAGCAAGAGCGCAAACAACACAACCAGCACCAGGTGATTCAATTAAAAACAAGAAAATCTAAATCAGTGTCAACAAATAGAACTGCTCGTAAATTTACAACATCAACATCACGATCATCTCCCATACCTCTCTTACCTAAATTAGGTAGCACATTAATGACGGAACTCAAAGAAGCATTGAAATCCATCGAGGTTTTTAGCGGTGAAAAAGGTGTGGATACTGCTCAATGGTTACGAGAAGTTGAAGGAAAATTTCGATGTTTTGATAATATACAAGCTAGTGATAAATTGAAAGATACCATTAAAGTTAGGTGGAGAAGCATTTGAATGGTGGGATTTGGTACAAGCAAATATTGAGACCTGGGAAATTTTCAAAGCACAGATACTCATTCGCTTTCCATCAACCACAAATTCATTTATAGAGGGTATTAATGGTATTAGTGTTATTCATTTATAGAGGGTATTAATGGTATTAGTGTTATTGGATTTATTGGTGATATAATGTGAATCACTTAGATTGCTATAGTAATGGTAATGGTATTTGAACTATCCGTGTACAATTCCTGGTGTAGTGGCACCAGACACTAATGTAT